GAGAGAATCTCAAAAACCAAAGGTCTGCCCTGCCTTCTTGGATCTTACATTCATTCTTTAAACTTATGTGGATTGAGCACCTACTATGTGAGAGAGAGAATCTCAAAAACCAAAGGTCTGCCCTGCCTTCTTGGATCTTACATTCATTCTTTAAACTTATGTGGATTGAGCACCTACTATGTGCCAGGTCTGCTCCAGGAGCTAGGGTTAGAGCTGAGAAAAACAGGAGATCCCTGCTCTTTTCAAAACTTACATTCTTCAATCCAACAAATATTTATTGAACACCTACTGTGTACCGGGCCCTGTCCTAGGCGCCTGATGGAGCACTGAGGCAAACAGACAGAGTCTCTGCTCACGTGGAGTTTACAGTTCAAGACCTGTCAATGGAGCACCCACTGTCTCCAGCGGAGCGCTGGAGACAGACTGAATGAGATGGACACAGTTCCTGCTCATGGGGTTCCTTCTAGCAGGAGTGCAAGGATGTGCACGGGAGAGAAATGTAAAACCTAGTAAACAGATTAGTAAATAAGATCATGACAAACCGCATTAAGTGCTGGGAAGTAAATAAACCATGTGATATATCATGAGTTCCCAGTACGCTAGTGCCCGGAGGTCAGGGTTTGTGTTCCCTGCCCTTGTCCAATGCCTGACATGTCCTAGGTGCTCAATAAATATTTATTGAATTCAATGAATCCACAGAAGAGGAAAACGCACCCTGTTTTTTCCCTGGATTTTTTTTTTTTTTTGGAAAAATCTTCAAACCTAGAGAAAAGCTGCAGGAACAGTACAATAAACACTTGAATATGCCTTATTAACACTTGCATCCACTCTCTCTCTATGTATATATTATATAGAGATTGTTAATTTCGATTAAAAATGGGCAAAGGATTTGAATAGATATTTCTCCAAAGAAGATATAAGAATGGCTAATAAGTACGTGAAGAGATGTTCAACATCACTGAGCATTAGGGGACTGCAAGTCAAAACCACAATGAGCTACCACTTCACACCCATGAAGATGGCTACTATCTAAAAAACAGAAAATAATGTGTTGGCAAAGATGTGGAGAAATTGGAACTCTTGTGAACTGTTGGTGGAAATGTAAAATGGCACCGCCACTATGGAAAACAATATGGACATTCCTCAAATAATTAAAAGTAGAATTACTATATGATGAAGCAATTCCACTTCTGGATATACATCCAAAAGAACTGAAAGTAGGGACTGGAAGAGATCTTTGCACACTTATGTTCTTAGCAGCATTATTCACAAAAACTGAAATGTGGAAACAACCTATCAATTAACAAATCGGTAAACAAAATGTGGTATATACATGCAATGGGATATTATTCAGTCTTAAAAAGGAAGGAAATTCTGACATATGCGACAACATGGATGAACCTTGAGGTCATTATGCTAAGTGGAATAAAGCCAGTCACAAAAGGTAAATACTGTATGATTCCACTTATATGAGGTATTGAGAGTACCTAGCGTAATTAAATCCACATTCAGGATATTTAACATTGGCTTGATCGGTTCAACCATATTCAGACTTTCTTAAATGCCTCCTGACTCTTCTCTGCTTCAATATCACCGCCTCTGAGAAGTCCTCCCAGATTACCCCCTCCCTGTAAAGCATGCCTGCCTCTTTATTCTCTATTTTAGGGATCAGCAAACACTTTCTGTAAGGAGCCAGGTTGTAAATATTTTCGGCTTTGTGGTCCATAGTTCTCTTGCTACTGTAACAGGAAAGCAGCCACCGACAATATGGAAATGAATAGATGCAGCTGTGTTCCAATAAAACTTTATTTATAGACACTGAAATTCGAATTGCATATAATTTTCACGTGTCACAAAATAGTCTTCTTTTGACTTTTTTCAACCCTTTAGAGATGTAAAAGTCATTTTCAGCTGAGGAGTCATGGTTTGCCATTAACTCTAATTATCCTGTTAGTTTCTGCCTAGCTTTAATTACAATTTATAATTCATTTTTTGTCTTTCTCCTATATCATCCAATAAACCCCTTGAGGCGAGAAACCACATGTATCTTGTTCACCAGTATGTCCCCAACCCCTAGGAGGGAATTTGTAATAGATTTAAACTTAGATTAAAAAAAATGGAGCCTCAATTCAGTTATTGGGAACCCTTTAAACATGTTTGGAACAACTTAAGTATGGGAATCTACCTCTTCTACTGTAAATGTTATGAAATCTAAGTAGAGATCAAGTGCTTTTAGTGAAAAAATTAGTGTCCGCATTGACCTGGGCTGTCCTGAGAACATTTTGAAGGCTTAGTACAATAAAAGGTTAAAAAAAATCTCGATAGTTTTTATATTGGTTGCACGTTGAAGTGATAGCTCTTTGGGCCTATTGAGTTAAAGAAAATATTATAATTAGTGTCACCTGTTTCTTTTTACATTTTTAATTTGGCTAGCAGAAAGTTTGAAATCACATGTGGGGCTCGAATTATATTTAAATTGGACATCGCTGGTGCCTAATAGGTATCATTTGAATTGAATTAGGTGTGATTAAAGTAACTGGGGCTGGGGTTAACGGGGAGAATCACTCAAGTTGTAAGGAGGAGATTAGACCACAAGGGGGTGCTCACACCACACTGAAATTCTCTTTTTCCTACCTGAGAAATCGCACTCTTGGCTTCCTGCTGCCCTCGCCTACCTTTCCCAGGATTAGCCGCTTATAATAATAGCTAATGCGCTGCAGATGATACTTTGAGATACGAACCGAGATATGAACTTGCTCGTCCTTTCCCCTTCCCTCATTACCACGCCGCAGGCAGGCAGTGAGTCAAGGCGCTATTTGCCCCGAGGTAAGGAGTTGTCAGAATGGGACCGAAAATAAATGTGGGGAAACAAAGGCTGCAAATTCCTCCGCTTCTAAGCCCCAAAGCCTCAGGTCCAGGTGGGAGGCAGGAAGAATCTGGAAGCAGAACCAGTTTTGTTTCTCTGATGATGTAGCCACGCTAAAGGGCCATTTGGTAAAACGTCGTTAACTTGATTACCTGTGGATTTCACAACCTGGCAATTCCACTGTCTTTGGTGAAGAGGTTGAAGAAGTTCTCACGCTCGCCCATCAGGGGCAAAGATGTTCATCCCAGTGCTGTTTATAGTGGGGGCGGGGGGAGAGGGTGAAAGGCAAGCTGGTGTCCATCACTGGGGAGGAGGAGGTGCAGGGGAGGGTGGAGGGCCAGGACGGAGGAGTCTGTGGGTGCGAAGCAACAGACCAGGCTGTGCACACAGCAAGAATGCATCTGAGTGAAAATAGTAAGAAACAACCCAATACTGTTGATATAAATGTAAAATTTATATGTCCCAAACAAAAATACACAACGTGTAAGAGCACTTACAAACGAAAGAACCACAATAAACATGATAAAATAGTGACTCTGGCTGGGAAGGAAAAGGAAGCAGGTGGTGAGGGCAAAATGGAGTAAATGAATAAGAAATAAATAAAACTAACACTGGCTTTTGTGTGAACCAGGTGGTTAAGTGTGCCTCTGGGGTCAGACTGCCCACTTTAATTAATTAATTAAAATTAAACTCTGCCTCTTAATTACTGGGGGCCCTCAGTGAAATTAGGTAATTTCTCTGTGCCTCAGCTGCCTCATCCATAAAATGGGATAACAGAAGTGCTGACATTACATTACGGGGTCGTCCCGACAAAAATGAAATAACATGAAATGTATAAAGAGTTTACGTAGTACATAGCAAGTGCTATTACCTGCCGGCTATTTTTTATACATTTTATGAACTGAAGATTATTTACTTAATCTTCTGCCCCTGAGGTTGTTAGAAATGTAAGGGAAAAGGGAGGCTCTCTGAGCTGGAGGGGAGAGAGATGCGAGAAAGAGGGAAAATAAAAAATTTGGATGTGAATGTGGGGCCTTCTGAGTCTGGCAGAGGTGAGACGACATGAAAGATGCATGCTGTATCAGTGTGGGCTGGGTTATGCTGCTGTAACAAAGAGCACAAATATCTCAGTGGCTTAAAACAACAAACTTATTTTTTTGCTGTGTCATTACGGTTGGCTGGTCAGAACTCTGGGGCGGGGAAAACAGAGGAGAACCCACAGTTGTTCTTAAATGCTTCCACCCTCAAATGACACCTGCTTGTTGGCCAAATTGAGTCACAAGGCCACATCACCCTTCACAAGAGTGAGGAAGAATGATCTTTTATGGACCCAGAAGGATCGAGAGTTGGAATATTTGTGAGCAGCTTGAATGACCAGCTCAAAACCCTCTTTAAACTTAGGGACCTGAGAGCTGAGAAAACTCATCCTGAAAGTCTGGGGCTTGCTCAGAAAGAAGACACAACAATAAGCGTTTGTTATCTCACAGTTTCTGCGGGTCAGGAATTAGGAAGTGGCTTAGCTGGACTGTTCTGGCTCAGTGTCTCATGACGTCAGCTTGGGCTGCAGTCATCCATCAGAAGGCAAGACTGAGGCTGGAGAAGCTGCTTCGAAGATGGCTCACTGGCAAGTTGGCCCTGGCTCTTGGCAGAACGCCTCGTGTCCTTGCTATGTGGGCCTCCCCACAGGCTTCTCAAAGGTCCACAGGATATAGTATCTGGCTTCCCACAGAGTGAACATTCCAAGAGAAAGCCAGGAGGAAGTCGTCATGTCTTTTGTGACTGACCTAGCCTCCGAAGCCATACATACACCAGCCATACACAAGCCATACACACTACATACTTCTAGTATATTCTGTTAGAAGCAAGCCATTGAGTCTGGCTCACATTCAAAGGAAGGGGAATCAGCCTCCACCTTTTGAAGGGACGAGGGTCAAAGAATTTGTGGATAT